TTCCCAATTAGGTCATGACGGAGATGATAAGGGTGCTATTGATCGACCCTCCGACAGTGTGGCGCTCCTTCAGTGCCGACCCTCCAACAGTGCGGCGCACCCTCAGCGCCGACCTTCTGACAGTGCCTGGCCCCTTCAGCACTGACGCTCTGTGCTGGCAGCGTTTGATGGGGGACAGCGTAGAGGGAGCTTAACTCTGCATCTAACCCCATGCTGTCACTGTTCTGGGCGCATTTGATGGGGGACAGCGTAGAGTGAGCTTTACTCTGTATCTAACCCCATGCTGTCCCTGTCCTGGGGGTGTTCGATAGGGTGGGGGGGTGAGGAGGAGTAGGAGGAGAAGCAGAGCTTTAGTCTGTATTTGACCTTGTGCTGTACGTATCCAGGAGTGTTTGATGGGGACATTGTTATGAAGATGTGTTGTCCAAGCATTAATTCATAACGTCATTGATTGTGTCACATCCCTTATAGAAAGTACGCGCTGGTTATCCAACTTCACTCACGCATAACTGAGCAGCTGAATCACCAGGGTAAGTTACTTTGTCTGACAGTGACAAAACAAACTCACACCGGGTTTCATCAACAACGAAACAGAAACTTAATTATTATAAACAAAACTATCCCTTAACAAGTGGCAAAACAGAATTACTAACTGCTGCAATAAAACTTAAGCCACATCGACCATGCACACTTCTATTCACAAATAGCACAGATAAGATAGTCACAATTAACACGGTGGAAACATGGAACAAATGCTGTGGACCAAGTCCTGAAAGCACAAGGGTGACGTTCTCACAAAGCGTTTGGCATATCACATTGAGGACCTACAATCTCTGAGGCCAACAATCAGTGGCCAAGTCAGTTAGACCTGGGTCTTTGCCTGACTTCCTTGTGGAGTATTTCTCCCCCCCTCACTCCCGCCCCTCCGATTTAGACCAAAACAAAAGCTGTTGTCTGGCAGCGTTTCGACCCAAGATCACCTGGTGTCACAGCCTGTCACAATGCAGTATCAAATCTAGCCTCTCCTAAAAGGTACACGGGACTTTATGTAACCAACAAGTGAACATGACACAATTCCACTTTAGACTTTTGAAATGCGAAGAAAATACACCTGACCTTCAGAAGAGTCCAAACTATTTATTTCTAGTTTATATTCTTCCTCCACCAACCAAAGAAAAAGCAACAAAAGCAGAAGTTGCTGGAAAAGCTCAGCAGGTCTGGCAGCATCTGTGAAGGAGAAAACAGAGTTAACGATTCAGGTCCGGTGACCCTTCCTCAGAAAAAGAAAAAGAATAATAAAAAACAACTTTGGCAACTGGACTGTGACCTTTTCATCAAGAGTACTTTTTGCAAAGCGAGAGAGTACGGCTACAATAGTAGCAATTGTGCATTTGCAAGGAACAAGGAGCTTGGATGGCGACAGAGACTACACTATGATCAGAGAGAGGTCACTTGACCCAGTTTGCGGGTGAAAAGTGGTATCGGATTTGAACAGACAAAGTCTGGAGGTAACTTGTTTCAGGAGAAGCCCTTGTCCACTGGGTGTTGTTCTCCAAATCTGCCCTCATCTGAGTACGAGAGCTGAAAACCCCCTGGAAGACCTCATCACCGCAAGTGGAGGGGTCTTAAAAGGTGAATTTGAAATCTGATACCATTGCCTACAGAAAAAAAGTGAACGCACCCAGCCATAACTTACCTGACACCCTTGTACCAACAGCTTGTGTACAAAGTGACTTCAGCAACAGATCAACATTGGGGACAATCTGCGATTAATTCTTTGCCCTGAATTTAATTATTACTTGGTCTTTGACTGTTAAGGTACTGTTAAGATAAGAGATTTCCTATTTTTCTACAGGCTTTGCCTATGCTGGTTTTCAGGAAGATTAGTTGTATATATTTATACGGTTTTAGGCTTTTAATAATCTTGATATCTTTGCTGGAGTAAGTTATATTTGCAACAGGCTTTTTAAATTTGTTTACTGAAGGAACCGGTTTTAGATTCTGAGCTATTTTTTGGCAATATTACTTCCCTTCTTAAATTCAAACTTTTGTCAATGATGCAGGAGAATGAATCAGTTCACCTTCCCTAACTCGGATGTAATAATAACGTAACTTAACTCACTACACCTCCATGCTGTACCTGATTGGGAAGCTGTTTCTTTGCCAGAGTGCAGACAGGGAACCTTACTGCGCAGCTGCCCTGAGGAAGTTTTACTGTGCATGATCCATGCTGTACCTGCACTAGGTGTGTTCGATGGGGAGGTTTACTCTGCATCTAGCCATGTCGTACCTGGGAGTGACCAAGAATAACATCAAGGTGAACAAAACATTCTAATCCAAGGCAACAAAATCCATCAGCCCCCGACAGCTACAAAAATGCGTTAAAAATAATAAAATAGCTATGGGGGAAGAAAAAAAAAAACAGCTGAAAGTGAGAAGTTAAATATTTAAAATCCATTCTCCTCAACCCTAGCTCTGTTCTTGATATTTCCCTGAAAAAAAAATGCACGCTTAGTCCTGCAATGAGAATGAAACAGGTTACAGCCCAAAGCATTGAAAATTAATTTAGCAAGATCCCTTGTCCTTTCAGTCGAAATGATTTTTGCTATAAATTACATTGGGCATGTCTAAAAAGGCAGCAAAGGGGAAAAAAATTAACTCTCTCAGCACACAAAACGAACACCATATAGTTTAGTGGGAAGAAGGCAGTACCTTGTGAGATCTTCTGATGCCGTGATCTTTCCCAGGTTGACTCATAGACTTCCTGTTGTTGATGTCGAGGGGACGTTAGCTGGACAGCACCGATGGCTGTGGGTCTCGCACAGCTGATCCACCCCTGGCAAAACCAGAGTGAATACCCTCTGGAAGCAACGCGTTCATGGCCCGCCACCCCTCCTTTAACCAAGGTGGCACTGAGAGCCCTGGCACTGCCAAGATAGGTCCCTCTGTTATAGTTACCCTTCCTTCTCTGGTCCCAGCAGGTTTTGCATTTCACTGCCTCCTAATCTATATTGATTATTCCCTGGCCAGCTTGGACTTATCAGAAATCTGGCCAAGTACCGAACACACGTCTCCCCAGATCATGTTGACCGTCTTTGGCTGCAGATCCACTGTCACTTTTGATTTCAAAAGCTTGATCTTTCAGATCCCTCTGTCCCTATTCCCTGCCCTCCCTTTTTTTGAAACAACCTCCAGTCTGACAACCACCTCTGTGCAGCACATCAGCAATGCCACAGCGAGAGCTCTGGTCTCCTGAAATTAGAAAGGCTGGCACTGGAAGCCGCTCCCCTGGCTGACTGCTGCGACGAAGTGGGGGCAGAGTCAGGGGTGTTGTGCCTCATGGAGGAATGGTTAACCACGTTAGGCCTGTACCCAGTGGCATTCAAAAGAATGAGAGGTGATCATCTTGAAACAGACAATCATACAGCATTGAAACAGACCCTTCGGTCCAACCAGTCCATGCCGAATATAATCCCAAACTAAACTAGTCCCACCTGCCTGCTCCTGGCCCATATCCCTCCAAACCTTTCCTATTCATGTACTTATCCAAATGTCTTTTAAACAATGTAACTGTACCCACAGTCGCCACTTCCTCAGGAAGTTCATTCCACGTGCAAGCCACCCTCTACGTAAAAAAAATTGTCCCTCATGTCTACTTTAAAGTTTTTCTTCTCTCATCTTAAAAATGTGTCCCCTCATCCTAGGGAGAAAAAAACACCTTCCATTAACCGTATCTATAACCCCGTGATTTTACAGACCTCTAAAAGGTCACCTCTCAACATCCTTGTGAGAAAAGTCCCAGCCTATTGAGCCTCTCTTTATAACTCAAACTTTCCGTACCTGGCAACATCCTGGTAAAGCTCTTCTGAACACTTTCTAGCTTAATAATATCCTTCCTAAAGCAGGGTTACCATAACTTGATATAATACTCCAGGAGAGGTCTCACCAACCTCCTGTACAAAATCCTGAGTGCTGGGGAGCGGGGTCAGGTGGTCTTGACAGCTGTGAATTGTTTCTTCCTCAGCGCTGGCCCACCAACAGTGTGGTGCTTCCTCGGCATTGGCCCTCTAACAGCACGGCACTCCCTCAGCACTGGCCCACCAACAGCACAGTGTTCCCTTGGCGTTGACCCTCCGACAGCGCGGCGCTGGCCCTCCGATAGCACAGCACTCCCTCAGCGCTGGCCCACCGAAGGCGTCGTATTCCCTCAGCATGGCACTCCCTCAATACAGACCACTGACAGTGAAGCATAAATGGGGCAGAAAAGACAGAATGGCCTGTTTGTGTGCAAGGTAAAGCAATAATTCCTGCAGAATAGGTTCCAACAATTGCTCAGCGTTGCAGCGATGAGTCCTGAGGCACAACCTAAGTCTGGCAATCAAAGGCTGACACTGACAGATTTCTAACAGTTCACAGCATCGTAAGAAACCCTCCACTGAGCCACAGTCTCACATAACCCTCTAGGTCTATCACGCAAACCAGCCTTCCATCCACAGACTCCATCTATACTTCCCGCTGCCTTGGGAAAGCAAGCAACACAATCAAAGACCCCTCCCACTCTGGTTATGCTCTCTTCCACCCTCTTCTGTCGGGCTGAAGGTGTAAAGATTTGTATACACGCATAAACAGATTCAAGAACAGCTTCTTCCCTGCTGTTATTAGACTTCCAAATGGACCTCTCAATTTTTAAATTTAATGCTCACCTTGCTGTCTGTGCATCTTTTCAGCAGCCATAACACTGTATTCCTCACTCTGTTCTGTTACCCTAATGCACTTTGTTTGGTACGATCTGCCTGTACTGCGCACAAAACAAAGCATTTCACTGTACCGAGTGTACATGTGACAATAATAAACCAAATCAAGTCCCTGCTCCTCAGCAACTCCTCAAGCTTCACTGGGGACGTGGGAGCAACACAGGCCCGTTCCCACTGTTCTCTCTTGTGCTCATGCCTGTGGCGCGCACACACATACACACGGACACCTTAACATAACCAGTTCAATCAAATTAAAAGTATACATTTTATTTGGTGCGCTCAGGAAAAAACAGAAACATGATTTTGCACAGCACTGTCACAATGAAATGCAGTCTAACATGATTCTTGCTAAAAGGCAAAAGGAAATTATTTTCCAAACACCATTACAAACAATTCCAACAGGTCATTAAAAAGATGCCCCAGCCACACTACAGCGAGCAAGCAACAATCGAGCTGTGATCCTGACATGCTACATATCAAATATTTTACGTCTTTCATCTTTTAAAAAAAAAACACAATAATACCCCCCCACAAAGTGTCCATTCCACACCCCCCCCCCCCCCACCCCCAACCATACCCGAATCCTGCAGCAATCCAGTTGGGATTTCTGCAAACCGGAAGGTCAATCTTTCAGCAAAGATGCCACCCCCAGATCCTCTGCATTCCTGCCAAGTCTGGGAAGGAGCCACGGACCACATAAAGACAAGGTGCTGGTAGCTACAGAGTCTGTTTCCTGTTTTTATTTGGGGGGGGTGGGAGGGGGGGAAAGCGGGGTATTTGCATAAATAGAAGCTGCCCTGAAGGAACCAACACTCCCAAGCCTGACACACTCCACGGGCAGCAACGCTGGTGTCAGGCAGGTCGTTCGGAAGGAGGTTCTTGCCTGCCAGCGGAGAGTGGGGTGTGTGCATATGCATGCGCGGTGGGAGGGGACGTACAGCAAGGGGTGCAAGACCATTGGACAGGTACTTCCAGAGTGCGCCGAACATTTGGAAACCAAACGTTCCCTGTCCCTTGACCCCGCGCAGCTCCGGGATTGCACACCTTTTCTTAGGTGAGGGGGGTGTGGTGGTCAAGTGTACACTGAGTGATGGCTCCCCTCTCTCCCCCAACTCGTTCAATGCCCACTTGGACACTGCCTTGCGTGGCTCTCCAAATAAAACATCCGTTCCCCTTTCACGATTCTAGCCCCTGCTGAAAAGGGCAAAGAGAGAACGGTGAAATCATCCTTCCACCCCTTCCCTTCAGTTTCTCTGGTCCTTTCCCTATACTTTAATACCTACGGAAATGTCAGGTGACTACCCAGCCATGCCAAAGCACTGGTTTTGATGGTGGACGTTAAGGGTGAAGTAATTACCCTGCCCCTGCCCCAGGGATAGGATTTCACACCCACAGCTCAAAGCCGGAAATGCCACTTCTCCAAAATAAAAAAAAAACAAGGCAACCAAAGAAATCAAAGCTGTTTTACCTCGAGAGAATCAGCAAGTGGAGCTCATTACATCTGTTGTGGTCTCGTTCCAACAAATAAATTAAGGGGACAGCTAGCCACCCTGATTTGCATTTTTAAAAATCCCAACTGGTGCACCTTTTGGGAAAAAAACCAGCCGCCCTCCTGCAGGACCCAGGGACCGTCTCCTCCTTTGACTAGGGCTCATGGGTTCACTGATGGCCCAGCCTGAGGTGGGGGCCTGGCCTGAGGTGGGGGCTTGGGGAAGGGGAAAGGGGAGGTTTTACACAGCTTCTTAACAGGCTGTCTGAACGACAGAACCCCTGTGCCATGAGCGACGAGCTGGATTGTACAGATCAAGACTGGGGCTGGCAGAGACCTCAAACTCTCGAGTCTCTGATTTGCGATCAACAGAGCAAATGGACAAAGGCAAGCACTGAGCAGCATCCTTTCCCACCCCAGCCCACCGCACATGAGACATACAACAAAAGGATTGCGGAGAGAGAGACACACACACACAGAGACAGACAGAGAGAGAGAGAGACAGACAGACAGAGAGGGGAGGGAAGTCGGCACAAAGAGGAGGGGACTAAAAAAGAAAACGCAGCTTGGAGCCCCACCCCATGTGACAAATACCAGTCGCTTGATACACGCTGCCAGGTGAATGAAGCACAACGTGCCCAAACTCCCACAACAATCCTCATCCCCAACCCCAGCACGCCTTCCCTGTGTACGGGTTACTCATTGGGTGATGGGCCAGCCTCTGGGAACCCAGTCAGGTCGAAGGTCAGCACTTTGCTGATGACGCAGTCCCCTTGCTGAAAGAGATGGAGAAAGGAAGGGGCGGGAGGGGAAGAGAGAGAGAAAAAATGAAAATATTAGACCAAACCACCATAAAGCAGACATGCAGTTTCAAGATGACTGCTTCATCACAATGTATAAAACTCTTCGAGGACTTGTGCTGGTAGAATCTGAGGCCTTGCTGCTGCGCTTCTGTTGAAGGGTCTCGACTACGTGGGCACGGTCCCAGGGTAAGGGATGGTGGCGCAGTGTTAATGGAGCGGTCATTAAGAACCTAACCCTCCGAGGACATGGATTCAAATCCCACTACAGTGGCTAGTGCACCACAGTGATGCCTACTACGACAGCCATCACTGACTGGTGCTAAGAGCCAGCTGGTTCACTCATGTCCTGTAGGTAGGGAAATCAGCTGTCCTTACCCGGTTTGGGCCTACGTGACTCCAGATCCTGCACAGAGGTATGGCTGACTGCGAACTAACGGCTCTAGAGAGCCGCTCAATTCAAGAGGCAGTGAAGAAGGGGCAACTAATGTTGGGCCTTACCAGTGGTGCCCAAATCCCATTGAAAGATGATAAATAATTAGGACTGACAATGGGATGTGTGTGGTAGCGCTCACGTGACAACAAGGCCTGGTATGTGGGGCTGGGGGAAAAGACACGGGGAAAGGTGTTCAAGCCCTAAAATTACTGAACTCTATATTGAGCCCAGAAGGCTGCAGGGGCCCCAAGTGTAAAATCAGGAGTTGTTCTCCCAGCCTGCGCTGACCTTCGCTGCGGCACTGCAGCAAGCATGATAGATGTTGGCCAGGGAATACTGTGGTGTAATTAAGTGGCACGGAATGGGAAGCTCAGGGTCGTTTTTGGTGACAGAATGTAGGTGTTCTGCAAAGCTGTCACCCACTCTGCGCTGTGTTTCCCCAATATAGAGGAGAACATCTGGATTTGGTGATGTGTAATGATTAGGGGGCTCACGGTGAAGGAATCCCTTAGGGGAGCAGTGACCATATTATGATTTGAATTCACCCTGCAGCTTGACAGGGAGAAGCTGGAATCAGATGTAGCCGTATTACAATTGAGTAAAGGTAACTACAAAGACATAAGGGAGGAGCTGGCTAGAGTTGATTGGAAGGGGGGCTTAGCAGGGGTTTCTGGGTGGTAATTTGGGAGTCACTGCAGCAATTCATTCTGAGGAAGAAGAAACATTCCAAGAAGAGGACTAGACCGTCAGGGCTGACAAGGGAAGTCAGGGAAATCATCAAAGCAAAAGCATACACAATGTCGTGAAGATCACCGAGAAGCCAGAGGATTGGGAAGACTTTAAAAACCAACAGAGGTCAACTAAAAAAGCAATGAGAGGGAGATGGTGAAATAGGAGGGTATGCATCCATCACTCTCCCAGGCGGTGCATTTCAAAATCTAACAATTCTCTGAGTAAAGAAGTTTGTCCACATCTCACTCAGAATTCTCTTGCTGACCATCTTGAAATTGTGACCCCTAGTTATTGATATACCGACGAGTGGAAACAAAGCATCCCTCCGCACCTGTCAGAACCGTTCATAATTTCGAACATCACGATAAGGTCACCTCCCAATCTCTGCTCCAAGGAAAATAAGCCTCATTTCCCTCATCTTTCCTTGTATCTAAAATCCCTTATTGCAGACATCATTCCAGTAAATCGCCACTGCACTCTCTCCAGGGCTTTAACATTCTTCCCTAAATAAAGTACCCAGAACTCTAAATGTGGTCTGACCAATGATTTGTAGAGATTTATAAAAGTGAGGAAGTGATGCTACTCTATGCCTCCATCTTTAAACCCAAGGATGCTATAAGCGTTTTTAAACAATGGTTTCAACTTGCCTGCCCACCTTCAGAAAATGATGTATGTGAACCCAGAGAGCCCCCTGTACTCCCCTCAAGGTTGTACCATTGAGCCTGTATTGGCTCTTGCTGTTTCTTTTACCATAATGCATTACCTCAAATTTCTCGGCACTGAAATTCATCTAAGAGTCTGCCCCTTTGGCCGACTTGTCAACGTCTCTCTGAAGTCATTCAGCATCATCCTACCAATTCACCATTATCCCGAGTTTATTATCATCTGCAAATGTAGAGATTGGCAGCCCTCAACACCCAGCTCCAAACTCTTTACATTAATCAGAAAACACAAGGGTCCTAACATCAATCCTCAGGGAACACCACTTTCAACTTCTCTCCAATCTGAGAAATGCCCATCTGTACCTACACTCTGTTTCCTATTTTCTAATCCATGCTGATAAGGATCCATCAATCCCAAATAGTTCTAACTTGCTAACCAACCTGCTGTGCGGCACTGTATCAAGTACTTTCTGAAAATCCAAATATACAACGCCCACAGCATTACCCTCATCCACTGCCTGTGTCACCTTGTCAAAGACCTCAATTAAATTTGTCAGATATGACTTCCCCTTGACAAGGCAATGTTGACCATCTAGTATAACTTCCTTTTCTCTTAGTGTATATTTATTTTATATCGTGTACATTATGGCCGCCATCATATTTCCCGCTATTGACGACAAGCTGACAGGTATGCAGTTTCCTGGGTTAATCTTTGCTCCTTTCTTAAATAACAGTATCACATTTACAATCCTCCAGCCCCCTGATACTAATCCTGTGTCCAGACAGGCGTAGAAAATTTCTGCCAACGGCTCCACACAAAGGGTGGTGCGTGTATGGAACGAGCTGCCAGAGGAAGTGGTGGAGGTTGGTACACCACAACATTTAAAAAGGTACCCGGATGGGTATATGAACAGGAAGGATTTAGAGGGACATGGGCCAAATGCTGGCAAATAGGACTGGATTAATTTAGCAAATCTGTTCAGCATGGACGAGTTGGACCAAAGGTGTCTGTTCCATGCAGTACATCTCTATGACTCTATGCTTGGCGAGTTGACACTTTTGGCCAGGCTACGACCAAGAAAGGCAATGAGGAACACCAACAGCTGTCGGTGAACTTAAAAATGTGCAAGGCTTGGTCATACACCTTCAGTTTGCACAGGACTGTACTTCATCTGGAGCAGTGCTCCCTCAGTGCTGACCCTCCAACTGTGTGACTTTCTCTCTGTACCAGCTCTGGCTGTAATCTTGCAGGGCAACAGCTGAAGATTTGAAGGGAGGGGTAGAGAAGTCGCAAAAGGTGGAGGAAGACAGGATCACTGTTATCACCACTGGCTGTGAGAGATTCTTGAAGCTGGTTCCCCATGAACTGATCAGGCAAAAGGAGAATTACTGCTCAAGGAGGCAAAAGTTTGCCAGAAATTCCAAAGCACAAATGGCCACCGAGCCCTGGAGTTGAACAGACAGTGCTGTTGTTACGTTCAAACTGGCACTGACCTGTCTAAGAGGGAGAAACAAACCTCAAGCTGCCACATACCTCAGGGTAGACACCAATGAGAGCGTCAGCCTTGGTGTAGAATTCCTCTTTTAGGGAAATGACCACAGCCTGAAAGTTAGACATGGACTGCTCCTTGATGTAGTTGGCAACCTGAGAAAAAGGAAGTCCATTTCAGCCTGGTGAAAACGGATTCACCCTTATATCCCTGTGTCAGCCAAACCTGCATTTCCACCCCCTGACCAAAGTTTCAGATTCCTCTGAGCCCAGACAGAGACACATACAGACAGCGAGCTATTCACTGGCATATGGCAACACAGCATCCCCTCGCCTGCTAAGAGCCCACCCCCCACTCAATTTCTCAGGCTGATGGACTCAGCAGGACAGCAGTTACCAAACAAGACTGACTGCTGCCGGGTGAAGTGTCCTGAGTTTCACATCCGAGCAGCTGACTGGGTGAACTGGGTCAGTGAAGGAGCAATGAGCAGTCAGGTAATGTACATCCTTCCCTTCCCCCTCACTTACCACCGTATTGTCCTGAGAGGGAGCAGTGTCACTCACAGAAACTTACTACAGTGTGCAGGAATCAAATCAAGGAGCAATGGCCAGCGTAACGGAGGGAAAATTGAGTGGCACTCTCCGGGTACGAGGCCGAAGGGTGGAAACTAGGGGCAGAGTGGCACAGACAGCAAGGGACAGGAGAGGGTGACTGGAGCTTGATGGGACTGCAGACCCAAGGAATGGACTTACTGACCATGAGAAGCAATGACACCTTCGAAAATAAGCGAGAAGGAGAATGCAAAAGCGAGTGTAAACAAGAGTCTGTGCATGATGCGCGCGCGCACACACACACAAAGACAAAAACACTCACCTTTCCAATGTTTGTATTGTCGAGGGCAGCATCAATCTCATCCAGAACAAAGAACGGGGCTGGCTTATAGCTGAGGAAAGACGATAAGTCCTGGTTAGCAGCACCCTAACACAGTACCCACAGCCCCACTCACCAACATGAGCAAAACGGCAAAGTCAACAAAACTGGAATGCTCAGGTTGGAGATTTTTTGGGTAGAGGGAGAGAGAGGGAGCAAAGGTGAGAAAAGTGTGTCCTGGTGCAGCTGACGTTGCTGTGTGGTTTCCTCCTATTCCTGTGTAACAGGCTCGAGGAGGGGCTCCTCCTGCTTTGAACACAGAATGCACATACTTGAGAAAGTCAGTCTAAAGTCTGAGAAACAGGATATAGTTGCCAAGTTCATCCTTTTTACTGCAGCGTCCCCACTCTGCTGCAAACATCCCTACCTGTGGATGGCAAACAACAGCGCCAAGGCCGCCACTGTCTTCTCCCCTCCAGACAGGTTATCCATGGGCCTGAACCGCTTGCCTGGAGCCACACAGTTGTAGTTGATCCCATCCAGATACGGCTCTTCCGGGTTCTCCGGGCCCAAGAATGCCTGGCAGGTGAATGAAACATGGTCACGGATGAATATACGCACACACTAATTTTAATGTCAGACAGTGTCTTTCGCACCTTGGTGAAGGCCACCTTCTTTTTTATTTTTTCTATATTTTTAACTGTGGACTAAAACGACAAAACAGCCGTTTTAAGAACCCAGGATTATTGCGTGCTTTCGCGTGACGCAACCTGACCCTCACTGTCAGCACTATTTACACAGCTGCCGGCTCCTGCAGGAGCCGAAGTGTAGCTCACAGACGAGCTGGACTAAGGCGTTATGTACAAATGGAGCTTTGTTTGGCAACAACTAACTGATTGATGTGTGGCCTAGTGACTATTTGTCAATAACAAAGAACTTGCGCCTGCCAACAATTATATGATCAGTTCTCTGATAGCTGAACAGTTTGAGGCTGTGAACAATCTGGAAAGAAACCATGAGACACCACCACCGCGCTCAGGAGCTGTCTGTGGTCTCTGCAGTCAAAGCTATGTTAAGCCTGAGGAAAACCAGCTTATTTTCCCTCCAGCAGTTGCTGTAAGCCATGACTTTTAATGAATAAGTCATGGACCTGTTTATAAGTACGAAGCAGCCAACCTGCGCTTCCGGCAAAGCAGTGAAAATATCCAGAGAAGGAAGAGCAAGCAGCAGCATATCCTGCGGACAGGGACCAATGAACTGCTTCACCATGTTTCTCTCCATCCACAAGCACCATCAATTCCTGGAGGCTTGGTATTCCAACCGGAACTCCATCAACAAACACATTGAATGAGACCCTGTTTACAAACCACTGAGAAACAGAGCCAGAAGTAATACCAACCACCCCAGCAAACCGAGGCATATAAATAACAAGCGGGGCAGAACACCAACGCTTCACTGGAGGCGCGCTGACCATGTTTACCTAGCAGAGTGACGAAACGTTTGCATCCAAACCCACTGGCTCGGCGAGCATGTCTACAACCTCATAAACACCATGTTTTTCCCTGTGTCTGTCCATTTGTGTATAAGGGAGAGTTTGGAAGGGAAATTATGGTTTTAGTTAATAGAGTTATAGAACTGTACAGCACAGCACAGGCCCTTCGGCCCACGATGTTGTGCTGAACTTTTACCCTGAACCTAGGGTCTATCTAACCTCCACCCCTACCTTATACTATCATCCATACGCCTATCTAATAGCCGCTTAAATGCCCCTCATGAGGCTGACTCCACTACCCTCTCCAGCAATGCATTCCACCCCCCGACCACTCTCTGAGTAAAGAACCTACCTCTGACGTCTCCCCTATATCTACCTCCACTCACTTTAAAACTATGCCCCCTTGTAATAGCTACCTCCACCCTAGGAAAAAGTCTCTGGCTGTCCACTCTATCTATACCTCTGATCATTTTGTGCACCCCTATCAAGTCACCTCTCATCCTTCGTCAGTCTAAAGAGAAAAGTCCTAGCTCTCTCAACCTTTCCTCGTAAGACCTGCCCTCCATTCCAGGCAACATCCTGGTAAATCTCCTCTGCACTTTTTCCAACGCTTCCACATCTTTCCTGTAATGAGGCGACCAGAACTGGACACAATACTCCAGATGTGGCTGAACCAGGCTTTTGTATAGCTGGAGCATAACTTCACAGCTCTTGAACTCAATCCCTCTATTAATGAAAGCTAACACACCATACGCCTTCTTAACAATTCTATCCACTTGGGTGGCAGCTTTCAGGGAAAGCTGAAGACAGACAGTTCTTGATTATTTAGCCAGAATCTATATACTTATAACAGCAATTGCTGTCAGGCATGTGGTCTATGCTTTCAGTGAACCTGGCTCTGAAAGTCAGCTAAATTGAAGAATCTTTGAGCACTTTTTAAAATCCTTATCTGTTGTGACAACTCAGGGAATAGAGCGTTGAACACAGAACTGTACAGCACTGAAACAGGCCCTTCAGTCCACAATGTTGGGCCAAACAGGACACCAAATTAAACTAATCCCCTCTTACCTTAAATGCATGCCCTCTAGTATTAGACATTTCAACTCTGGGAAAAAGGTTCTGACCATCAACCCTATATATGCACCTCAATTTTATAGACTTCTATCAAGTCTCTTCTCAGCCTCCACTGCTCAAGAGAAAACACCACAGTTTTTTCTAGCCTCTCCTTATAGCTCATACCTTCTAATCCAGGGAGCACCCTGGTAAATCTCTTCTGCATCCTCTCCAAAGCCTCCACCATCCTTCCTGTAATGAGACGACCAGAACTAATGCAATTCTCCAAGCGTGGCCTAACCAAAGTCTTACAAAGCTGCAACATGACATCCTGACTCTTGCACTCAATTCCCCGACCAATAACGGCAAGCATGCCATATGCCTTCTTTACCGCTCTGTATACTTGCGTGACCTTCGTTTCGATGTCCAACGTGCTACCCCAGCGAGGCAGGACAGCACAGCACATCCCAACCTGCTCATGTTTGTGGAAAATAGGCTGCGTTTATTGTCAATGCCATAGCCAGCACATGGGCAGAAACTCAGGTGTGCAGTGCCACATCAACAAATAGCCATCAGCTGCTGGGAACAAAGATGATACTGCCCAGAACCAACAAACAAGAGGTCTTACAGGGTTTAGTTAAGCCCCAGCCCGGGGACTGTGAGAGGGACAGGATGGTGGCAATGCATCCTCAGGAGTGCAACCAGGTAACCTGCGACTGCATTTCAGAGAAAAGTGCCACCACTTGTTCTCAGAGTTTCAGAACAGCCCAACTCATTTTCTCTCATCTGGTTGAGATTGCCTTGTGGCCAAATGGATATTGTTCACCAGCAGCAAACCTCTCACTGATCCTGAAAAAACAGTCAACAGACAACAAATCTGCAGCTAGACGGGCCGATTAAAATCGGAATCACCCGCATCCCACGCACAGTCCTACAGTTGCTCCCATTTAATTCTGGATCTGCTCCTGCATGTGTGACATCAATCTGCAAACACGTTCTGGCTAAGGGAGATCAGTTGGTAATTGATCTTGCTGGGCTCATTCGTACCTGTGGTTTTGGGGTAATTATTCCATACAAAACTGAAAAGTCATGCTCGGGCAATGGGGAAGGCTCCAATCATAGTTCAGTCAGAAGATCCTAGGTGAGAGTGTCCCCGCACAAGATCCAATCCCATTTTCCAGCTGAAACACCACGACTGAGAAGGGTTATCAGGACAGATCAGATGTTAATCTTCCCGAGTGGACAAAGATCCCCGCCTCAGACATTACTGGAAGAGTGGAGTGGACGTCTACAAGCATTTGTCAGTGCTCATTCTTCCCCCGTGACCGTCAACGTCATAAGTCCCATCTTTCCAGCTGAGCTGTGAAACAGAGGGTCTGTCCCTCCCAGTCTGCCTGAATTTGGACCAGCCAGACAGAAGCGACACATGCTCACTGGCAGAACTGCGCCGTACTGTTCAGTAGCACCTTCCAGACCCAGGACCTTCATGCCTAGACAGAGCAGGACAGGCCGGGGGGCATGGGGACAACACCTCCTGGAAGCTCTGCATGAATTGGAACCTCCTTCAGAGTCACTGGGTCTCCCTCCCTAATGGCACTGTGGTGTGTCCCTGCACCACATGGGACTGCAGCAGTTCAAGATGGCAGTTCTCAAGAGGGCAATTAGGGATGAGCAATGAATGCTGAACTACCCAGGGACGCCACCATCCCATGAATACCAAACAGCAGCAGCTCCCTCCCAATGCAGAAGGGAGTGAGCTGACATCGAGCAGATCTCACGCAGGTTCCAAGGGCGCGTTTCATTCTTACCTGCGCGCTACTGTTCCGCGAGAGAGCCTTGTAAATCTCATCGATATTCGTGGCCACGGCTTCGAAACAGGCGTTGAAGCGGTCAAAGCGCTCTTTCTTGATCTGCTCAAAGGCCTGCTTTGCTTTTTTGGCTCGTTTCCTTGCCGCCTCAAACTCTGTATGTGAGGTGGGGTGGGGGGGTAGAAAAAGACAGGAAGAGGAAAGTGGTAAGGAAAAGGGCACCATTTGACATTGGGTAAATGAGGGGGCAGGGTCTCCCGTGCTTTACCAAATAGCATGTGTGTGTTATCAACACCAGACGGTTGTAACCCTCTTCTACACCTCATAGCCTGCTCACACACTGCATCCAGGCTTGCACAGGCACACACAGACCTAATATGACCAATGGACAGGCTACAACCACTCACACATTAAGGCACAGCAGCCAAGATTAGCTGACAAACACCTCCATGTCCAAGTCCCGCACCAGAGACGCAAGTGCAGATTCCTCAAAAAGAAATGCTTAACTCTTTCTACGGACATCACTGGCGAGGCCAGTATTTGATCCTCAGACAGTGGAAAGAGTGAGATGGACAGTGCATTGAGCTTGACTCCAGAGTGATTGATCAACAGACACTGATGCACTCAAACTTGCAAGAGTGGGTGAAGACTAACCTTCTGAGGTTTCCTGGAATTTATCCCGCACGCTATCCAGCTTCTCCATGGCCTTCATGTTGGGTGCAGCAATCCGTTGCAGGATGTTCTGGTGCTCTGTCACCTTCTGCTGCAGGCTGTTCAACTCTATCTTGACCTCGTCTTCTGCTAACGTATCCTGCACAGGTATCGGGGCAGAGACAACATAAAACCCTCCCTTTTTTAGGTTTCACAACAAAGTCCTTTCCCTTCCTTGCTCCACTGGGAAATTACACCAAAGCTTCTAATATCACGTAGCTGGGGTAGTCAGAGAGAATCTGAACTAGCTGTGTCAAACCATTCCTCCCCCCACACCGACCCTGAAGAGTGGAGTTGTGGAGCGGGCAGAGGCCGAGTCCCATGGTGGATGGAAGAGAGCACGGGCCGAGTCCCATGGTGGATGGAAGAGAGCAACGGCCAAGTCGCGCGGCGGACCCAGCACGGGCCTTGTGCTCTGGGGCCTGCAGGCAGGCCCCGCAAGTCCCAGGACACCGCAAGCAGTGAGCCCTGGAGCAGCACATGGGGAAGGTGGCCCACTGCAGCGCGTAAGCAGCGAGTCCTGTACGGGGACCAGTGGTCGGGGGGGGGGAACAATCCTTACCTTAGAACACTGTAATGTTAACACCTTAATATTTTCCTATTTCTAACTTATTTTCAACTCTGTATTTGAGCAACTACTTCCATTCCTCTGCTGTATTCTAGAATTGTACCTAGGTACTTGTACCTAAGATGTCGCATTGGAAGGCAGATATTGTTAACGTTTTTCACTGTACTCCTACAATGGAGTACACGTGACAATAAAAGGATATTGTATTGTATTTAGTGTTGGACGGAGGAACGTAAATTCCACACTAGCATTCTGCCTTTTTGCTTTAAAGGCAACTAGTGGATGGGAGGTGGTGGGAAATACAAATGGGACCTACACTAAGTTGCTGCCGGACAGTCTGGAAAGGAATTAGTGTCTTAGTTTAAGGAGTCGACTATTTTGAATTGAGATGAGCAGAAGATTCAGAGCTGCCGGACCAGCATATTCTGTTTTTGTTCCAGGTCTTTAACATCCACAGTTATTTGTGTTAATTGTAAAAGGTCCAGAGCGTTGGTCTGGTCCTCTGGATTACCAGTCCAGTTACATTACTGCTGCACCTACACCTCCTGAGGCTTCCTTGTTTTTTTTTTAAAATTCATTCACGGGATGAGGGGGTCACTGGCCAGGCCAGCATTTGTTGCCCATGCCTAATTGCCCAGAGGGCAGTTAAGAGTCAACCACTTTGCTGCAGTTCTGGAGTCACATGTAGGTCAAACCAGGGGAAGATGGCAGTTTCCTTTCCTAAAGGACGTTAGTGAACCAGATGGGTTTTTCCAACAGACAGCAATAGATTCACAGTCGTCATGAGACTCTTAATTCCAGATTTTTATTGAATTCAAATGCCATCTGCCACGGCAGAATTTGAACCCGGGTCCCCAGAACATTACCTGGGTCTCTGGATTAATAGTCCAGCAATAATACCACAAGGCTGTGACCTCCCCTTTACTAATGGTTATCAGAAACTGAAGAGGAGTTGAGAGTTATTAGGGGCTGCAGAATTCTCTCCCCCAGACAGCAAAAAAAAAAAGCTTGGTCATTGAATCTACACAAGGCTGAGTTAGAGAGATTTGGATTGACAAAGGAATCAATGTTCACAGGAGGTAGGTAGGAAAAGTGGGGCTCAGGCCCAAATCCGATCAGCCATGATCTTAATAAATGGCAGAGCAGCCTCGAGAGCTGAACGACCTCCCACTGTTCCTCACTTGCACACGTGAAAAACGGACTCTCAGACTGACTCAGCAATCAAACATACCTTCAGATCCTCGGACAGCTCGCTGTAATCTATCTCAATCATGGCCTCCCGTGCGCACACATTCGAGGTCCTCTGCGAACTGTTTCCCGTGTCTTCGGACTGCAATTCACCCTAGGAGGAAAACGTCAGCCAATCAAATTTAACCAAAATATGGCAGGTGGGAGGGTAAGGAAGCTGGGGCTGGACGTCGAGGAAGAGTGTGTGGGGAGGGGTAGAAGGCATGTGAGGACAATGAGGGAGCAGTGCAGTTGCCTGCCAGTCGAGAGTTACAGAAGGTTTCCACGTTGTCTAGGGGCTGGGACTCTCTAGCTGCCGACAGCATTCGCCCTTTGTGCCAGGAGTGACTCCAACCAGTGAAGAATTTCTCCCCACCAATATCCACCCCTATCCTCCTCCCATCGGCTTTAATCTGCCAGGGTTCCTTCATCCAGCTCTCAGTCAAATCCTGCCGAACTGTCAGGGTCAGACACTCCTGCCACAACCCCAGCATTCAGCTCTTCCTAAACGGTGCAGCGAGTTCACCGGACCGTATTACGATTCATTCGTACAACGTGATTCGATTTGATTTATTACTGTCACGTGCACCTAGGTGCAGTGTTTCGCGTGCAGTACAGGCAGATCATACCATACAAGTGCATTAGGGCAACGGAACAGAGTGAGGAATACAACGTTATGGCTGCAGAGAAGGTGCACAGACAGCGAGGTCAACTTAAATTTAAAATTTGAATGGTCCACTGGAAGTCCAATAACAGCGGGGAAGAAGCTGTTCTTGAATCTGTTTGTACATGTATACAAACTTTTATATCTTCTTTGATGGATGAGGGTGGAATAGAGTATAACTGGGGTGGGAGGGGTCTTTGATGATGTTGGTTGCTTTCCTGAGGCAGCAGGAAGTATAGATGGAGTCAGGGGAATGAAAAGGCTGGTCTGTGTGATGGACTGGGCTTTATTCCCAACTCTGGGGTTTCTTACGGTTTTGGGAAGAGCAGTTGCCAAACCACACAGTGATGCACCCAGATAGGATGTTTTCTAAGGCATTTTTTTTTTTTAAAATCATTTTTTCCATAGGGAAAACTGGCATTTAATGTCCCACCCCAAATTACTCGAGGTGGTGACGGAGCGCTGCCTTCTTCATTGGCTGCAATCTGCCTGGGTCAGTTTTTCTGAAATAGACTGACTGACTGATTTCAGACAGCAGTTAAGAGTTAACCATATCGATGTGGATCCAGAGTCATAGGTAGACCAGACCAGGCAACATCCTGGTAAATCTCCCTCTGTTCCTGCTCCAGTGCCATCACATCTCTCCTATAATCTGGATTCTGGAACTGAGTACAATACTCTCGTTGTGTGGCCTAACTAACGTTTTATATAGTTCCGACATACACGCCCCTGCCCTTGAACTCCATGCCTTAGCTAATAAAGACACGATCAAGTACCTTCTTAACCATTTTATCCACTTGATTTTCCTGGTCACGTCTATAGCAGCTTTACATTTGAACTTATGTCCCCAAAGCTTTAGCCTGGCCCCCCCTCTCTGGATTACAAGTCCAGTGACATCACCACCAGCGTACAGTCATACTGCATACTCCTACTGTCATTACTTGTGTTTCTAAGCTCATTCTAGGTGCAGGGTCAGGCCTATTAGCACTTCCTCCTAATCACAGTGATTAAATACCGGTCCAATGATGCACAGGCTCAAAATAAGGAGGTGCAGATTTAGGATGGAGTCGAGGAGTAACTTCTCCACCCAAAGAGTTGTTAATCCCTACCCAGTGAAGCACTTGAGGCTGCCTTGTTTAATGTTTTTAAGGCAGACAGATAGATTTTTGAACAGTAATGGAATTAAGGATTACGGCGAGCGGGCGGGTAAGTGGAGCTGAGTCCACGAAAAGATAAGCCATGATCCTGCTGAATGGCGGAGCAGGTGCAAGGAGCCAGATGGCCTACTCCTGCTCTTACTTTCTTATGTTATATAAAACCTCCTCCAATTTCTTTGGTTCTTACAGCTACAGCATCCTGGTGGTGGTGGTGGTGGTGGTGGTGGTGGTGGTGG